CCCAAGGCGCGGCGCACTGAAGCAGCGGTCCCGACCGAACAGAGCTCATCAGCATCCCCGCCGGCTCGGAAGCCTACCCGTGGCCCTTCCTTGATGGGGCCCCACGCCGCGGCATTGGCCACCTCCCCTTTAAGGGCCTCGTAGTGGCGCCGATGGTACCTGACGAAAAGCGGCTTGCGCTTCCCTTTACCATTGAATAGGTATGTGCCCCCGTCCGTTAGCACATAGACCGGAGCATCGCAGGTTTTGGAGATCGCCGTGATTTCCAATGCAGAGCCCCAGGCCGGCACCGTCCCGGGCGACAAGGTCCAGGTACTTGTCGAACTCATCCTCGCCCATGATGTTGTTAGTGGCATCAGGTGTGCCACGGTCCCATGCCTTTGAGTAGACCTCGCGGTATTTCCGCAAGTGCGTCACCGCCATAGCCCGCAAGACCGCCGGTCCTTTGGCATGTGCAGGATAAAGGTTCCTGAAGGAGTCCGACAAGGCATGGAAGAGGCAATTGCCCTCCCCCGCGTTTGAAACGACCTCCAGCCCAGCCACCATTGGGCCGGCCTCCTCCTTCTTGGCCCGCTTGTTGGCGGCATCAGCCTCAGTGTGGCCCTCCCGCTTGTGATCACCAGTGGCGGAGCGATCTGCAGCATTGAGGCCGCCCTCGGCGCCGCCCCCCGCATCCTCAGCATTGGCGGCTGCCTGAGACCCCGCCTTGTTGAGGAACAGATCCAAGGCCGGCTTGGTGGGCCGGCACGTATCGCCCTGAGCAGTGAAAAGAGTGCGCCGCTCCGGCGCAATGTCGTGGTGCTTGCGCCGGTCCACCCTGCCAAAGTCACACGACGCAAGCAAGGTAAAGTCGCCGGCATTGAGCTCCATATGGCTGGTGCCATCCTCGCGCGTGGCCCGTAACCTCCAAGCCTTAGCGCGCCTCCAAGGGTAGGCCTCAAGAAGCTCAATGTCCTTGAACCCAGCTTGCTTGGCAATGTCCTTGATGTCCTCGCTGCCAACGGCATGTGGCGCGCCCATGAAGCGCCACACTCGGCGCCGTTGCTGATCCAAGTGTGGCTTGGTGCCCCGCGGTCGTCGCACCCCCACCTGTCGGCTGCCCAGAACCAAGCCAAGTCCATCTAGCTTAGCCTGCCCCAATGCCACCGAAACCGCCTCCTTGAGGTTGGACTGCTCAATCCACTCCACGCCCGGCGGCGCCGTGGCAGAAAGCGGACTGTCCCATCGCAGCGGCTCAAAGAACCACCTCGACCCCCCTCCAGCGCAACCGCTAGCAGCAAGGAAGGCATCCCCGCGAGCCCCGTCAACCCGCACCAAACCCTGAATGTCATGCGTCCCAATCTTTTCCCAGCCCCAAGAGTCCCGGATGGCAGGCAACAAACCAAGGTGCTGACCTGCCCACTTGCGCACATCAGCTGCCGGGGCCCGGGCCACCTTATCAAAGCCATCGGCAAAGAAGTGTCGGCGAGTCTTAGCTCGCAAAACAATCGTATTGGCCTGGGCCGTCCTAGCCGCCGAAATAGAACGTTGCTCAACCTGAACCTTGGGCGCGTGGGCGCCCCGCGTCAAAGTGAAACGCTGCACGAACTTGAGCCCCCCTTGAAACAGAAGTGGGACAGTGCTTAAGGCAGGCTCGACCCCAAAAGGGAATCCTTAGTCGCGTCGGCAAAGCCGTCCTGGGTCTCATAATTAAAGACGAAAAGCACTGGAACATCCTCGTGCGCCGCAAGCAGCTGCCACATGATCTCAGCCTCGCCTGCCGCCGCCGGTATGGCTACGATTCCTTTTTCCTCAGGCTTAGACTTACCACTCACAGCCCCTAGCAACCCTTCAAGCTCCGAGCCGGAAGCCGCAACCGGCCCAGTCCAATCCCCCTTGCGTGCTCTGCCCGTCTCCGCCCGAGGCCGAGGAGCGGGCCTACGGGAGCCTCGCTTAGCAACTTCAGTCCAAGAAGAATCCTCAGTGTGTTGGCTCGCTGGCACCGGCTCTCGACCGGCGTCTCGGAACTGCCCTTGACCCCGGTCAGGACCCTGACCCTTTCCTAAACCCTTGACCCCGCCCTTAACCAAAACAGCACGACGAGCCCCGTCCTTAACCCCAGCACTCGCACGCCCGTCCTGTCCTTTGGCTGCCACAGCAGGGCCAGGTAGTCGAGGAGGAGCTGCAGCAACGGCCGGCACCTTCCTGAAGCGGGCGACCAAGCTCTTCAGTCGCTGCAGAACGTTGTGCGGGCGCGTCCTCACAATGTCTTCCAGCGCCTCCCAAAGCTCCTGAAAGCCAGGCTCTTCAGCAGAGGTGCCCGGCGGTTCGTCGTCCCAAACCTGGTCCAACAGAGAAGCAAGCCCTTCAAGAAGGGCTTCCGTCTTGTTCTTCTTCTCACCAGCACCGCCACGCAGCGAAGGAAGACCATGGCCACACGGCGAGCAGGAGTGAAGGCAGGGGCCCCGTAAGGGCCGGTGCATCTCATCAACATCATCCGACATCACCGCACAGTCCTGGCCTCCCCGGCTCATGTCCCCATTTCTTGAACTTTCTTCCGGTATTCGGGTCCGGTGCCACTGTTTGGCCCTCGGGCTCTTCAACTTTCTTCCCGGTTGACGGGTCCGGTCCCGCTTGGAACGCAGAGAACCCCTAGACCCCAAAACACTAAAACCCACTTGCTTCCGGGCGGCACGCAAAAGACACCTAAGGTGAAGCACACGCCACTGAGCTCTCAAAACTCCTCGTCGAAGCTGCCAGCGAAGCCGCCGGCCCAAGCTCCTGCGTTGACGCCCCACCATGGGAGCACCAAAGGCCGCACAGCCACGAAGGCAGCGCGCCACCAATGAGGCCACTGAAGCTGGCCTCTTTCTTTTTGGGGGCGGTCCCCAAAGGCCAACCGCCCTTCGCCTCCGTCGTCGCCGAAGCCAACGCCAGCCACCATACGATCGGGAGCGCCCCAAACGTGGCAGCCGGCAATCCCAGCCAGAGACGTCATAGAAGAAGACACAGGCCCCCGTGCCCAGCGCCACCAGCCAAGCATGAAGCAAGAAAGGGCCGCCGCAGGCGAAGAAGCCAGCCCAGGTCCAAGTCGGCTGCCCTGGGTCCCAAAGGAGAGCCCCAAGTGCAAAGAGGCAGAGGCTCCAACCCAACATCCATGCCGTAAGGCGCATGCTGCTCCACCGGCGAGCATACACGCGGGCCACCAGTGTCCCCAAAGCACTGGAAAGAGGCCCTGTTCCTAAACATGACAAGGGCCCCACAGAGGCAAAGCCAAGCAGAATCCAGCGCGCCGCCCAAGCCTGAGTTGTAGTCAAGGAATTGCAATAATACAAGACTTTTTTCATAGCCTTAATAGTTCGTGAAATATTCTGTTCTTCCTGTTATAACTGTCATGCATAACTGATGATATCTGCATCAAGTTCTTTAACAAGAACCCAGAAGCTGTAGTCAGTGCTCTGAAGAGCGGCCACCGCGGTATTGAATTCCGTTCGGGTGACCCAACCACTGGTCTGCAGCTGGCGCGCGGTGTCTCCACGCAACTCGGCGATGATCAACTTGTTCTCCTTCCAAATAGCTGTACGCTTCAGGGTTTAGGGCACGATTGGAATAGGGTTTGAGGGCCCGTTATACCATCATTATAAAACGAACCCCCAATACTTGTTCTCTTGGCAAAGAGACCGCTTTGCGGTCTCAATTTGTTCAACTTGGGCTTGATACCCAACCCAACCCTGAACCGTCCGTAAATCCTAAACCCCTAAACCCTAAACCACTACACTGGAACATCTGGAGTCCTCGAAGAGCTGTCGCTGTGCCAAAAGCTGGGACTTGAGCTCCTCCACTTCTTGGCGCAGGTCCTGACCCTTGACGGCCAAAGCTCCCAAAAGGAAGGCCAGAATGCCTTACTTCCCCAACAAGCCACAGAAATGAGAGGTTAAAGTCTCCGGTTCCCACTAAACCATAAGAATCCAAAAAGCTTAAAGGTTGGGTATTGGGGATCTAAGATGCTGCACCGCATGGCGAGGGCTGGTTTTTTGAGCCCGTCTTTTGGAGCGCCGATGCTGCTATCGAAACCTCCTGAAGCTGAAGCCCAGATGCTGCGGCTGGCTGTTTCGACTGACCATAATGTAGGAACCTGATTAAGAAACCTTAGGCCTATAACCCCAAAATAATAGGATTCATACAAGGAACCCTAATAAAGGCCCAAGGTTTCTTAAGCAGGTTCCTACATTATCAAGAATGACAACAACAAAAAACACTAACTTAGTAAATATTGTAATAGCAAGAATACGAATACTAAGAGGGCTATTACTACGATGTTGGAGATGCTTCATATCCCTAAGCCTGCGCTCTCAACTCAACTCCGAGCACTTGCAAAGATTTGAACCGAAGGTTCAAAGCCAAGTGGGCCTTCTTTCTACGATTGCTTGTATCAAGAAAGCACCGCCTAGCTAACTCCGCATCCAGCGGGTTGATCCTATTCTCCAGAGCTGCAGTTTCTCCTTCATAGGAGAATGGAGCCTCACAGCTTGGCTGATTAAATACTGCTAGGCTTTTGTTTGACAGTGAGTTCCTTCTACGATTATAATAAGGAAGGCTGTAAGGCATACGATTACACAAAAATATTACGACACCATGTACGTCCCAAACCCGCTGTGAAGGCAAGCCCTCACTTCGTTGATCCTTATCTGCAGGCACTACAGACCATTAAACGAAAGCCTATACCCTAAGGCTCCATACTGTAGTAGATTTTTTTGGGGATTGCCTTATAGAGTTGTAAATATGAACCCCCAAAAGGAACTACTATGGAGCATCTAGGTACACACACCAACCTAAAGCCCTACCCCGCAAGCCCTGAACCCCTGCCTTCACAACAAGAAACCGGCCTTTTAAGTAACCAAGGAGAAAAGAGTATAAACTTGTATTTCATAATGGTTCCTTTAAGGAAAAAGGTCTCAAAGGATGGTACTCCAAAGCCCAGAAAACACATAAGAAAACAGCAGGAAACCCGGACAAGGCTCGGAGCCAGTCTGCGAGGACGTCTCGCTTCTGGGCCCCACAGCCCTTGGCTCGCTCCCGTTGGCAATCGAAGCTTTTAGGGTTTCAGTTTTTGGGGGTTTAAGGCTTAAGGGTTTTGGGATTTAGGACCTTCCGCGTTGAAGATTTAAGGGTTTTAGCGCTTTAGGATTTGAAGGCTCAGAGTTTCAGGTTTTATATAGGGCAATGGAGGGGTATGCAGCTACCCTCAAACGGCTTCTGTAAGTGAGTTCTTCACGGGGCTCTAGATCGGGTTCCGCAACGGTGCTACAAGAGCTGCGTAACGCTGTGGGAATAGGGTTCACGGTTTCAGTTCTTGGGGCCTACAGCAAAGCCCCAATCCTCTCGCTTCTGTAGGCCATCTTTACCTCAGCGCCCCTGCTGGGACGACCAACCCCTTGCTTGACAAGGATCTTAGAGCCAAAACAACTCAGAACTCACAAATCGAACAAACCCGAAACCGGCTCTAAGCCTTGGGGTTTTGAAGCAGGAGTTGGCTGTCATCTCAGAGCTTCCTAGTCTCTTCGAAGACTATTCATCCGCCAGCCCTTGTGCCTTAATTACCATCCTCTATGTCGCTCGAAGAGAGGAATTCCGGCAAAGGGCACGCAATCCTGAACCCCTTTCTCGAACACGGAAAGCCGCTAAGAAAACAAACCCTGCGTCTCAGCGCTGATGATGTTAGAACCTGAGTCTGGGAGATTGGACGTTTCAGGTTTCATCCAGAGCATGGCAGTTGCACGGTGTAGGTTTCTTCAATGCAAGTTGCCTCTGAACCGGAACCGAAACCAACACATGATTGTCTAGACTTGACAAGCATCCTACACGGACTAAAGGTTAACCTTCGAGATTATGTAGGGTTGTAGTACCCCGAGAAGGTCAAAGGTTACCTATTTTAGTACGAGGATGGTCTGGTGGGACGGGAGCACTCGAACTGACATTTCCTGCTGAAATCTGCCCGAAAATGCCTCGTTGCCCATTTAATTTTAGGGTTAGGGTTCAGGGGTTCAGGGTTTAGGGCCTTACAGGCACGGTGCGCAGAGAACATCCCCGGCGCCATCTTCGGCATCAGGCGACACGCCGGGGGCTGGGAAGCAAAGACCTTAAAACCAAAATCCTCGAATCCTGAAGCCTAAACTAGTGGCCCGATTACTGTCAATCTGGTACTATCACTATACAGGGAACACCAATCATATTCTTATACTCGTGGGGGTTTGGCGAAGCTTCGTCTTGCGGGCGCGGGTTTGGGCGGAGCTTGTGGTGACCGGGCTGAAGCCTGTGGGGTTGTGTCGGCTTGCGAGGTCTCATATAACTTACGACCCCAACCTCCAACAGACACTTAGGTTTTTTTGACACTCACTCGCGGACTAAGCCTGGCAAGGTCTGCAGCGATACTGGTCTCTCGTTAACACGGCCGATTGGTACTTAGGTTTTACGACTTCGGGTTTAGGGCTTCATAAACCCGTATACCGGTTCAGGGCTAAGGGGCGTGATTTGTTGTCTACACTTGGTCTGGTCACTTGACGCCAGCCGGATAAGAGCAAGTCGGAGGCAGGAAACGGCTAAACAGCACGCCAACCCAGCGTAAGCACCAGACAGATGTGTACAGCTCAATCAAGAGACGGCAACACTGCCACGGCGACAGAAAAAGCCACAGGTGTTATTTCAAGGTAGGTCCCATCTCTAGCAGCTTGCCGTGATCGGAGATAAACCAAAGCAGTACAGCACATCTGGGACGTGAACATGATGAAGTTTCACTGAAGTTGAGTCTCATTCAGGAAGCATTCACTTCTCGAACCCTTGACCCTTTAACGCGAACAATCGGTGGAGCGCACTGAACTCTCAGGAGGTCGTAGTACTCCGTGTCCGCCTTAGAACAAGCACAGCAGAGTTCCCGCCGGCAGGTCGCACTCAAAGAGTGCCCGACCCTTCCACAAGAATTTTCTTGGATACGTTTGTTGCAAAAGACCAGGCATGAGACTAGTCCCACCTGACTCAGGCAATACAAGATGGCCCAAACAAGAATTTGCCACTAGGGTTCCGGAGTCTGCTGAGAATTCGGCTCAGTTTCGTTTCCATTATAGACCCGGGCTGCGGAAGTTTTCTTATGACATGATGTCACGAGAAACTGGGTGACCTATAAACCTTGTTTCTGTGTGCCTCCAGGCGAGCAGCCGCGTCACCATAAACAGTAGCAGCAAACTTGTTGATCCATGATCATCCTTGACTGCATGGTCTGTGCTGTGCTGTTCTGTGCCTTCGATGGTTTTGATGCACTGCAGTGATGACCTCGCGGTGCTGCTGTGAAGCTCCGCATCTTGCGCACAGCACCTGGCAAAGGCTCCCACCACGGTGCGGCGAACCGCTTCGTCCACACCTCCTCCTGCAGACTGCGAGGAGTAGGACGAGGACAATGAGCCGCGACCAACAGGCCTGAACCTGAAACTAAAAAACCGCACCGACTTTGCATGTCCACAATCTCCTACCGTGTTCTTGGTCCTTTGAGTACCCTTATAAGCATGTAGGCATTTAAGCACCGGGTCCTTCTCCAACGCCAGTCGCGGTGGCCTCGCCTTTCTCCGCATCCTGTCCGATGTCCGAAATTTCTTTGCCAAACTGCCGTGTAGTCCTGCTGCGGCTCCTGCTGCTGCTCCTCCTCCTCCTCCTCCCCCTCCTCCTCTTCCTACTCCACACTACGTATTGCTGACAAAACTAGCAATCAGTACAAGTGTCAATCATTCTTCCGGTATGGTTTCCGAAGTGGTAAGTTCTGTCCCAACAAAAGAGTTTTGGGTTCCCCGTTACGGAAGTGGGTAAACGGTCCTGCAGTGAGATAGTCAGCACTCCAGGCCGCCAGCCCTCAACTCTAAACTCACAGCCCCACAAACCGTCTTCTGGTATATACTTAGACCCCCGAAATACCCTGTAAGTATATACCATAAGGATACTTGGACCCTTTGGGTATGCTCAAACTACTTTCTGCCTTTCTGCCTTTGCTGGACGCTGGCCTTGGGGGTTTCTGCAAGTCGTCCCGCATTGCTCTGTGCAGCACTCTGGCACCCTAGGAGCGTAAGAGAAAAGTCTGTGGATAGTATATACCTACAGAGGCTCCATAGTAGTTCCTTTTTGGGGGTTCATATTTAGAACTCTCTAAGGCAATCCGAAAAATTTACTACTATGGAGCCTTAGTGTACTAGCGCATCGATCCACTACTGCTTGGGCTTGAGCATTGAGAAAGAGCCTAAACCAAGCCTCCGCCACTTGCTTCTCTAAGGCGCAAAGATCCACATCCACCTTGCAAAATACAGCGTCAAGCTCACGATTCAGGGTTTAACCTTGGGGGGATCAGGAGAGGGAACCGGTCAACACCCATGCAGCCACAACACGCGGGCAGTGGGAGTGAAGCCCGCAGACTTTTGTACGTTGAGCTTGCTCATGTGCAAGCTGCTTATGGCACGAATGCGTTGCTCCCTCTACAACTCTAGTGCAGCGGGGATTACTTGCACGAGGGTTCCTTGCTGCTTTTCGAAAAAACAGTGGCTGACCAGCACCAAGGGTCCGAAACGGCACCACCAAAAATCGGGACAGACCTTGTGCCCAATATGAGCGGTTGTGCCTATACCAACGATGCAAGATTCTGCAACTGGTTCAGGGATAAGCACGGTGCGGCTCGGCCGCATTCATACAAGGCGACCTAGATGAAACCAAAACCCTGAACCTTAAACCTGAAACATTCACCCTGCACTTCATAAACCCGATAGAGCCTGGGCAGAAACTGAGGACGGGGCCCAACAACCCAGCTCCTGATCCCACACTTTCTCTTCGCCTTACATGGCTGAAAACCAGTTTCTTTGAGTCCGACGACTTATGTCTAGCCAGGGTCTCGCCTGTCTGGCTGGGAAGTGGTTTCGGACTAAATTGAATGAGGCTTTGCCCTCCGTCCTCTCGTGTTCACAGACGCGTTCTTTCTGCCACTTCAGCTTGAAAAGGTCGATTCGTGAGGAAAGCATACTTAGGGCCTTAGGGAGGGTACTGTATGGAGGGACATACTGTTCAAGAACACCAGTTAGCATATGCGTTTTTTTGGGAGTGCAGTTAGCATATGATGCTGTTTGGAATCCCGGATGAAATTAGACAAAAAAAACAACTGCAGTTAGCATATAGAGGGGTCCAAAATATGCTATCTTCTCGTGTGGGGACACGAAAAGCACCAGCATACCGAGGCGAAATGCAGTTAGCATGTCAAGAAAACTGCAGTTAGCATATGCCATCCTCGATGCAAAGATGGGCATCCGAAAGGGCAAAAACTGAAGGGAATATCAGTAAAACCAGTGCAGTTAGCATATTCGTGCCTCCTAAAACCGACGAAATGACCTGATATGACACATATACTGTATGATAAAAATCGAGCTGCAGTAAACACTTACTGTACTTGGTTTAGGGTTCACTGTGGGGCTTACTGCACAGTACTGTTGGGGTTTCTGCTAGCTTTCTCCTCTTCGAACAGTGAACAGTGAAAGCACATGCCGGCTTTCTCTTCTTTGATCAGTACAATACTGCACAACACGGTTCTGTACTGTACCGCACTGTAGTGTACTCTACAATACAATACTGTACAGCACGCTCCCCATTTGCCCTCGCCCCTGTCACTCTCAAAGTCGTGTTCATGGCAGCCTGCAGCAGGAACCCATCCCACCCAGTGGCACAGCAATGAATGTGACAGGCAATTATGAGGCATGGAAACACGGAAGGAACCATTCGAAGGCGGCTGGCCCGGAATATATGCTATCTGCGGTTCTCTGCAGGGTTTGGACAACAGAAATTATACAAGAAGGGTTGCCATCCACTTTGCCCGTTGGGCTTCCTGTACAGTAAGAGAAGTCGTAACATTTGCTGTTTCGCCCAAGTAACCGCGCCTGACACAAAACATGGTTTCCACACAGACACACCGCGTCTGAAACTTTCTACCGAACCGTGGGCTTGCAAGCGACAAGAGGCACTTCCAGGGCTAAAGTTGTACTGCGACCAAGCACAATCTAGCCAGGACGCCAAACGAGGCATTTCCAGTACTAAAGTTGTACTACAACCAAGCACAATCCAGCCAGGACGCCAAACGAGGCATTTCCAGTACTAAAGTTATACTACAACCAAGCACAATCCAGCCAGGACGCCAAACGAGGCATTTCCAGTACCAAAGTTGTGCTACAACCAAGCACAATCCAGCCAGGACGCCAAACATTTCCAGTACTGAAGTTGTACTACAACCAATCACAATCCAGCCAGGACGCCAAACGAGGCATTTCCAGTACTAAAGTTGTAATACAACCAAGCACAATCCAGCCAGGACGCCAAACGATGCATTTCCAGTACTAAAGTTGTACTACAACCAAGCGCAATCCAGCCAGGACGCCAAACGAGGCATTTCCACTAGTATAGTTGTACTACAACCAAGCACAATCCAGCAGGACGCCAAACGAGGCATTTCCAGTACAAAAGCTGCACTACATACAACCAAGCACAATCCAGCCAGGACGCCAAACGAGACACTTCCAGTATCAAAGTTGTGCTACAACCAAGCACAATCCAGCCAGGACGCCAAACGAGGCATTTCCAGCACTAAAGTTGTACTACAACCACGCACAGTCCAGCCAGGACGCCAAACGAGGCAATTCCAGTACTAAAGTTGTACTACAACCAAGCGCAATCCAGCCAGGACGCCAAACGAGGCATTTCCACTACTAAAGTTGTACTACAACCACGCACAATCCAGCCAGGACGCCAAACGAGGCATTTCCAGTACTAAAGTTGTATTGGAACCAAGCACAATCCAGCCAGGACGCCAAACGAGGCATTTCCAGCACTAAAGTTGTACTACAACCAAGCGCAATCCAGCCAGGACGCCAAACGAGGCATTTCCACTACTAAAGTTGTACTACAACCAAGCACAATCCAGCCAGGACGCCAAACGACGTATTTCCAGTACCAAATTTTCGTACTAAAAGGACTTTTGCAAGAAACCTGTATCACCAACTACACCGCAGAACGTTACGACCCAGCGTTTTTTCGCTTCTGCGAAGGTCTGCCCTGATCTGCTGACATGCGTTACGACTTCGGTAGTTCCCTGTCGCATAACTGCAGTGAATATCAACAAAATAAGTGCAGTTAGCATATTCGTGCCTCCTAAAGCCGACGAAATGACCTGATATGACACATATACTGTATGATAAGAATCGAGCTGCAGTAAACACTTACTGTACTTGGTTTAGGGTTCACTGTAGGGCTTACTGTACAGTACTGTTGGGGTTTCTGCTAGCTTTCTCCTCTTCGAACAGTGAGCAGTGAAAGCACATGCTGGCTTTCTCTTCTTTGATCAGTACAGTACTGCACAACACGGTTCTGTACTGTACCGCACTGTAGTGTGCTCTACAATACAATACTGTACAGCACGCTCCCCATTTGCCCTCGCCCCTGTCACTCTCAAAGTCGTGTTCATGGCAGCCTGCAGCAGGAACCCATCCCACCCAGTGGCACAGCAATGCAATTACGAGGCATGGAAACACGGAAGGAACCATTCGAAGGCGGCTGGCCCGGAATATATGCTATCTGCGGCTCTCTGCAGGGTTTGGACAACAGAAATTATACAAGAAGGGTTGCCATCCACTTTGCCCGTTGGGCTTCCTGTACAGTAAGAGAAGTCGTAACATTTGCTGTTCCCCCAAGTAACCGCGCCTGACACAAAACATGGTTTCCACACACCGCCTCTGAAACTTTCTACTGAACCGTCGGCTTGCAAGCGACAAGAGGCACGTCCAGTACTAAAGTTGTAGTGCAACCAAGCACAATCTAGCCAGGACGCCAAACGAGGCATTTCCAGTACTAAAGTTGTACTACAACCAAGCGCAATCCAGCCAGGACGCCAAACGAGGCATTTCCACTAGTATAGTTGTACTACAACCAAGCACAATCCAGCAGGACGCCAAACGAGGCATTTCCAGTACCAAAGTTATACTACAACCAAGCACAATCCAGCCAGGACGCCAAACGAGTCATTTCCAGCACTAAAGTTGTACTACAACCACGCACAATCCAGCCAGGACGCCTAACGAGGCAATGCCAGTACTCAAGTTGTATTACAACCACGCACAATCCAGCCAGGACGCCAAACGAGGCATTTCCAGTACTAAAGTTGTATTACAACCATGCACAGTCCAGCCAGGACGCCAAACGAGGCACTTCCAGTATCAAAGTTGTGCTACAACCAAGCACAATCCAGCCAGGACGCCAAACGAGGCATTTCCAGCACTAAAGTGACTAAAGTTGTACTACAACCACGCACAATCCAGCCAGGACGCCGAACGAGGCAATTCCAGTACCAAAGTTGTACTACAACCAAGCGCAATCCAGCCAGGACGCCAAACGAAGCATTTCCAGTACTAAAGTTGTACTACAACCAAGCGCAATCCAGCCAGGACGCCAAACGAGGCATTTCCACTAGTATAGTTGTACTACAACCAAGCACAATCCAGCAGGACGCCAAACGAGGCATTTCCAGTACAAAAGCTACACTACATACAACCAAGCACAATCCAGCCAGGACGCCAAACCAGGCATTTCCAGTACTAAAGTTCAAGCACAATCCAGCCAGGACGCCAAACGAGGCATTCCCAGTACTAAAGTTGTACTACAACCAAGCACAGTCCAGCCAAGACGCGAGACGAGGCATTTTCAGTACCAAAGTTGTACTACAACCAAGCACAATCCAGCCAGGACGCCAAACGAGGCATTTCCAGTACTGAAGTTGTACTACAGCCAAGCACAATCCAGCCAGGACGCCAAACGAGGCATTTCCAGTACCAAAGTTGTGCTACAACCAAGATCAACCAAGCACAATCCAGCCAGGACGCCAAACGAGGCATTTCGAGCACTAAAGTTGTACCCAAACGAGGCATTTCCAGCACTAAAGTTGTACTACAACCAAGCACAATCCAGCCAGGACGCCGCACGAGGCATTTCCAGTACCAAAGCTGTACTACAACCATGCACAATCCAGCCAGGACGCCTAACGAGGCAATTCCAGTACTCAAGTTGTATTACAACCACGCACAATCCAGCCAGGACGCCAAACGAGGCATTTCCAGTACTAAAGTTGTATTACAACCATGCACAATCCAGCCAGGACGACTAACGATGCAATTCCAGTAATAAAGTTGTACTACAACCAAGCGTAATCCAGCCAAGACGCCAAACGAGGCATTTCCACTACCAAAGTTGTACTACAACCAAGCACAATCCAGCAGGCATTTCCAGTACCAAAGCTGCACTACATACAACCAAGCAATCCAGCCAGGACGCCAAACGAGGCATTTCCAGTAATAAAGTTGTACTACAACCAAGCACAATCCAGCCAGGACGCCGCACGAGGCACTTCCAGTACTAAAGTTGTATTAGAACCAAGCACAATCCAGCCAGGACGCCAAACGAGGCATTTCCAGCACTAAAGTTGTACTACAACCAAGCGCAATCCAGCCAGGACGCCAAACGAGGCATTTCCACTACTAAAGTTGTACTACAACCAAGCACAATCCAGCCAGGACGCCGAACGACGTATTTCCAGTACCAAATTTTCGTACTAAAGGACTTTTGCAAGCAACCCGTATCACCAACTACACCGCGGAATGTTACGACCCAGCGTTTTCGCTTCCGCGAAGGTCTGCCCTGATCTGCTGACATGCGTTACGACTTCGGTAGTTCCCTGTCGCATAACTGCAGTGAATATCAATAAAACAAATGCAGTTAGCATGTTCGTGCCTCCACAAACCGACGAAATTACATGACATGACACATATACTGTATGACATGATATGACATACAAAGACAGTACAGTACTGCAAACAAAACTATTACTGTAATCCATTTTGTGTTTGATGTTTATGGACATTCAATTTTTCAAAGCAACTTCCACATTTTTTACTGTACAGTACAGTAACATCGATAAGAATCACACTGCAGTAAACACCTACTTTACTTCGTTTAGGGTTCACTGTACTGTAGGGCTTACTGTACAGCACCGTAGGTTCGAAGGCAGTTGGTGGTTGGCCTGGAATATATGCTATCTGCAGTTCTTTGCAGGTTTGGACAACAGAAATTATACAAGAAACGTTGAAAGCTTTTCTGCTGCCTCTACTGTCCTGCACAGGGCATCCAATACACCTTGTTAAACGGTTCTGGGGGGGGGGCTCAGCTACACCTGTCTAAAGGGGTAGGCGGTTGGGGTTGGTCTGGAATATATATGCTATCTGCAGTTCTTTGCAGGTTTGGACAACAGAAATTATACAAGAAGCGTTGAGGTTTTTCTGCTGCCTCTACTGTACAGGGGTCCTGGGGGCATCCAATACACCTTCATTTCGTCGCCTGCACAAAGATGGTAGGACGATACACCTGCCTATGTACTGTAAAGAGGTTTCGGGGCATCCGATACACAATGTTAAAGGTTGTAGTACAGTACAGTACTGTACTATTGTACCATACGCTACAGTACAGTGCAGTAGCCCTTTACCCTCTGCTGTTTCACTCTCCTCTTCTGCCCCCCTCATCTCCAACACAAACACAGGCGCAAGTTCCATCAACTCGTCTGAATTTGCACCCGCTCATGCAAAACCTCCGGAATTACCAGAACTTCCTCCGACTCATGCCCTCCTACTCAAAAAAAAGCCCACATTCCTGGCAAGAACCATATGCTAACTGCGGTTCGGATATGCCCATACTGTACAGTACTGTACAGTTGCACAACACAAGCAGAGGCGCAAGTTCCATCAATTCTTCTGAAGTTGTCCCCCGCTCATGCAAAACCTCCCAGAATTACCAGAACTTCCTCCGACTCACGCCCTCCCACCACCAAAAAAAGCTCACATTCCTGGCATGGACCATATGCTAACTGCGGTGCGGGATATGCTAACTGCGGTTGTTGGGACCCGGGAAAACTCATATGCTAACTGCGTTGTTTTTGGCCCGGGATGAAATTAGACAAATGACCCGGGATCCCGGGTCATTTGTCTAATTGTCTAATTGTCCCCGGGTCCATATGCTAACTGGTGTTCCGGGAGTGTAAGACATGCATTGCAGACCTCTGACACACCAGCAATAGATGCTGTGCCTCATACAGAGCCAGTTTCTTGGCTGTTCGGAGTAGTCGAGCTGCCTCCGCTACTTACAGTAACTGTAAGCATCTGGGCTTGGACCTGGCCTTAGCAGTTGTTCAGAAGTTGTTCCAGTTCATTATGTTTAGCAGCCTTTGAAACTCCCTGACAGATAGATTAGCCTTCGACGAAGCATCGAAGCATCCAGCATTTCGCGTATTGTCACAGGGCATCAAGACACAAACAAATCGCGTTCATGAAGCCCATCAATCGACACCATCATCAGATTCGTTTTGAACTCCATTCGCTTCGGAATCGGAAGTTATCTTGGAACCTGGAGCCGTTTCTGGCCTCTTCGATGCTCGGGTCCTTTGAGTCCAAAACAAAAGCTGCGATTGCCGAGTTGGAACCAACCAGCTTCTGCCGAAGCTCGAAAGGGAGGCGTTCGAGGTGCCTTCGTTGCAAGGACAACCAGAAGTAAATAGACTGCTCAGTATCTTGCCGAGAGCTCGGCAGCCTATCCTTGGCCTGCACGAACTCGACAAGCCTGTCCCATTGGCGCTTCCATCGTGCCTTGTCGACTCGGAACCTTTTTTCTCGCCTTCCTGTCACCCACTCTGCAACGACTGGCCCCAGGTCTTCCAATTGCTGCAGGCGTGCCTCGCTGTCCTTCCGACTCGGATCCACAAGCATGTCCAAGCCTTGTCGCAACTTGCGCTCTCGACTGGAACTTACAGTGCTATGGGGCATGCGGCGGTGAACCTGAACAAACTGCCTCAATTCCTTCCTTTGTCGCTCGAAAGGCGTCTCCGGATTTAGCCACTTCGAAGCACGGGCCCTCAAACGATCGCAAGATGAGTCCAAAAGCTTCCGCATTCTCGTAGTTGGAAGCCCCTGTTTCTTTTGCCTAGAGCCAGCATTGCGTAGCCACGTGCCCAGCGTTCTCTCTTCCAGAGAGCCGCTTACTTGCCTCGGAAGCCTTCCATGGTCTTGATCGAACTTCTCCACAGCACGCACTCGGAGATTCCACGCATCACGCTCGTGCAGGATCAACGCCAGCTGGTACTGTATGTTATGGGTCAAAAGCTTCTGCATGATTGGCTGCTGCAGCCTGCTATCCAACACCCAAAGACGACTCTGCCAATGTTTGACGTCTTCGTCGGAAAACCTGCTGTCTGCCGTACCTATCACCTCTAAAAACCTTTCTAGCTGATCGGCAGTCTTTACCCGATGCTTGGAAGCTGCGGCCGACTGGGGCATCTTGGCCCTTATCGCCTCGGGACCCCCCGCAGGCTCTACAGAAGCTCGCCGGTCAGCACCGAATTGATTTCGAAGTGCATCTTTGCCATCGTGGTCCCCCCACGTCTCGGTGATGTGCGCGTCGGGCTGGCTGCCAGTAGGTGATTTAAGAGCTGGAGCATGGGCCTCGGGGCCCGGGCTAGCGGCGCGCAAGTTTGATGTGCAGCCGATATCGGGTTGGATGCTGATTTCGCGATTCGCTCTGCTCACGGTCTGATCACCCTCTGCCGGCAGAGCGTGTGGAAGCCACTCTCCAGGGAGAGCAATATCGCCTGCCGCACGCAGCCCTTCCGAAGGAGGCTTTGCACCACTGGCTACAAGCTGGTGCTGAGCATGTGCCACACCGATGCTGCCCTGCATTTTACGCTGGTCAAGTTGGGAGTGACGAAGATACAGCGAACCCTCTGCCAGCATGTTGGGCTTGCTCTCCATCTTATCGCTGCCTATCGTCGAGGGAGCTGCTTTGATCGGCACAGGCGATTCCAGGGCATGGTTGTGACCTTCCAGCACCTGCAGGCAAACAGGATTCTTGTCGTCATCCTCGGTAAGCAGCAGTCCCAGATTTCTGGCAGGGCCAAGGGCATCGCTCAAAATGCTCACGGATGCGCCTGGCTTCTCGCATGCCATCGGAACAGCAATCGCAGGAAGTACGATGTGAGCCATAGGCTTGGACGGATGTGGTCGCAGCACTCGGCCGATGGCTTGAATGATGCTCGCGTAGCTGCTTCTTGGCTCCACGAACATGCAAGTGTCGGCATTGGGGATGTTGACTCCCTCGCCGAGGACCTGCACCGTCACCAACACATGCACCGTCTTCTGCAGCTCCCCAGAAAATTCGTTCATCACCCTCTCTCGCTCTTTTCGGCTTGTCTGCCCATTGATGTGCCATGCTGCCAACCCGACAGTCTCCAACACCTGCCGAAATCGCTTGGCCTCCGCTACCGAGTTGCAGTACGCGAGCACACGACGAAAGCGTCCAGCTTGCGACAACAGCAAGTTCGCCAGGCAGATGTAGGGGTGGCCTTCGGTCGTCACGGGCACAGTGAGATCGTAATCGCACAATACCCCTTGCTCGATGGCCTCGCCTAAGCTGTACCTGAAATCCACGTCTGACTTCTGGTTCTGCGTGGCCGAAAACTTGAAGATACTGTTGCAGCTCGGAAACCCTTTTGGCAAGGGGTGGTGGGACTCATCGATGAAAACTGCTTGGAAATGGACCTTTTGCAGCAAATGCACCGAGTCAGTTACCGCAATGAAGCGGGACGATGCCAAGTCGATCTTGTCGTTGTAGCCCGTGCCAACCTTGGAAAAGCTGGGCATCTCCTCACCAAGTTGCTCCAGCAGCAGGCGTGAAGGAACCGTGACTAAGACCTGCAAGAGCGAGCAGACATGATGCGGAAAGTCCATTTTGTTTGCTGTTTAATATACTGCAGCAATATATCCGCTCCCCACCTTCCCCGTGTGCTTTGCCACCAGCTCCCGGATCACGCGCGTCTTCCCGGTGCCGCAAGCCATCTCAATCACACGGGCTCCCGTGGCGCAAGCCTCCAGGCAGGCCTCCTGGCAGGGCCACAGCGGCGGGTCCGACACCGGGCCGTCCGCAAGCGGAGCGGCATCATTCCGCTGAAGCTTCTGCCGCCTCGACTTGGTGAGGATCTTGTGCTGGCCATCGTACTTGCGAAGACACTTCCTGAATTCGGTGGAGAGCTTGCAGTCGCGGAGGGTCCAGACGGTGCACTTGGGAGCCTGCACGCAAAAGAGTCTTCGTATATCCGTTGTCTTTAGCCTTCAAGCTTCGTTCGCTGCATTTCACTCATATGAAAGTCAAGTCCCCCAGCCTGGCACACACAGTTGGCCGTTCGGAAGAACCGCTTCGCATCCTGGAGTGTGGCACTGCCAGCATCACAAAGTATTGCATGCGATCCGTCCAGGCTGAAGAGGTCCACGCCTGCTAGGTGCTGAAGGTTGAGCGCACTCGACAGAAGATCGACTGCTTGTGCACAGATCCCCCGCAAACATGCCATGCACCACAAAGTGGCAGAAGCCGCAGAAAGCCGAGCCTAGATGCCGACGCGTGAAGTTCTGCCTCTCAAAAAACCAGGGCGGCAAGTCCTGTGCTATACGGCTGAGGCAGTTACAATGCTACAGCTTCACTCATCATCCTTTCGAGCAGCCTCTCCTGGGTCGGCACTGCGTCGAACTCGAGCACTGCTGTCCATACCAGCTGCTGTCTGTCCTCGAGAAAAGGCCACGTCAGCGCCTCCAATCACAGACATCGCAAGATCTCTGCACATCGCTCGAAAAATGCTAGGCTTTGGCACGGTTCTGGTCTCAAGACTTGATGGACGGGTGTGGCCTTCGTTTTGCAGGCACGAATGTGGCCAGGGATTCTTGCATCAGAGATGCGAGCAAGACTGTGTGCCTCTCGACTGGCAAGCTGCTTAATCTCTAGCATGATGAAGAACTAAGCTAACCAAGTAACTAAGCACAGGGTGCAGTGACCTATGGCACTCGCAACCCCACCGCCGAAAAGCGAAAAGGGCGCCCTGTCAGCCCTGCATGTGTTAGGCAGCGCCTCACGCGCTAGGCGGCGAAGGCGCTCCATGAAAGCCTCGTCACGGCCTCAGAATATCAGTTCCATATGTTTTGATCTATGACAAAGGCTATAGGGGGCCTTAGCAAGTATAGGTTAGAAGTTGGGACTTGAAAATCTTACCTGGAGCCCCCAAACTGTAGGAAAGCCGGGCAACTCCAGTCCTCCGACCTGGCTCGGAGAGCAGCGCTGCCAATGCCAACTCTGCGATGCCAAGTCCTCCTTTCGGAAGAGGTGTCGAGTAATTAGAGGCCCCAATGAACCCTATGCTACCGGGACCATGGCAGTTTGATGCTTCGGCGCTGTCAAGCCGAGCGATGCTAGACTGCTAGACCTCGCAGAATCAAACACAAAGTCCTGCCAATCATTTCGCGCCTGCCAGGCTCGGCAAGGCGTGTGAATGCAGCCGTGGTCCAGAGAGTTTCTAGACCGAGCCCGAAAAAGAGTAGAGCCACAGCTGCTCTTCTGCGGCATCGTCGAGAAATCATGCCAATTCCAATGTAGCCATGCATCCGCTGTCCGTTGAGAAACGTCAAAGGGGGCTGCAGAACAGAGGGAGCTCTGCCATCACAGATCGAACTCAGTAGCTTGCTACAATCGTGAGCCTGCAAGCTGCAAATGGCACACTGCACCCAATGAACACCGAGCCCAGATCTGTAAACCGGCTACGGTACTTCTGTGTTCTGTGGGACACTAACCGTAGGAGCAGGAAGACGAAGGGAGAGAAGGAAAGCTTGCTGAAACAAAGGCTAGGGTTCCCGGACGGCGTCTCGTCATCATTGAAGCTACCCGTCAGTTCAAAACCGATGCACGACTGCTGTCATGTCATGGTGCGAAATCAACCTTTGATTTGCGAGAAGATGTTTCCTTTTCTATGGGGCTTCTCCAGGTTGTGGGAGCTCCGGGCCTCGCCTTCGCACCTTACAACGGGTCACGCCAAAGAATCCCAGGCCTCAGAGCACAAATTCTCAGCACCAAGCCCTGTAAACTTTGAGGTCTTTGACTTAATCCCAACCACACACAAAGCCTGAAACCCTCAAAACGGTTTCGGGGTTTAGGGTTGAGGGTTTAGGCAAAGCCTCAACTCGAAGGAACCTTCAGCCCGCCAAAAAACTCTAGGCGGAATCTCCAAACTATGATCGAAGTCCCCCAAGAAAGCAAAGCCTGAAACCCCAAAGCACCCCCAAAACTCGAAGCGAAATCCCCATCTCAGCCCCCCGGCGCCGAGCACGTGCAGCGCCCGGGACCTGCATGAGGCCGCGGCCCACCTCAATGTGCAGGGCCTTCAGGTCCTTTGGGTCCTTTGGGGTTTAGGGTTTTAGGATTTATAGGGTTTAGGGTTTTTCTTCAGGTTTTAGGGTTTCAGGGTCCTTTGGCGTGGAGATGCTATAATGGGAGCTCTTCCGAAGGGGTTTAGGGACTTTGGGCTATGTAAATGCGCAGGGCCTTCATACAATTCTAGGGTCCGTTTTAAGGGTCCTTTGAGGGCTCCTTTAAGGTTGCCTATAGGGTTGCTGTAGTAGGGGTTCTTCCGATGGGGCTTAGGGACTTAATGGGCAATCAGGTTTACGGGTCTGGGGGGTATGTATAGTTTTCTATACTACATAGTCTAGGTTCAGAGTGCCAAACTCGATTTTCTTCAGGGGCCTTTAACTCCCCACTCCGACCCTGGTCATGGAGAGCGAGTGCAGTGGCTGCGGAAGAGGGTTTAGGGTTTAGGGACTGTCTTGGAGTGTCTGATGGAACGGTTCTCTCGCAGCGATCCGGCAGCGACGAGAGAATGCTGGCAGACAGTTCACGCTGAAGTTTGCGACACGAACGACATGCTGATCTGGTAGTCCAAAATCTTATACGATGGAGCGCCGGCCACTCATAAGGGATACTTGCCACATCTTCACGCTCAAACATGCGGCCTTGCCTATCAGCTTATAGGTTCCAAAAGTATTCTCGGATGCTGAAACCTTTAATTTTAATCAATCCCAGACCCATGAGGTGCGCAGCTTCGGATGTATCGCAGTTGCACTTAAAGCTAACTTAGAGACACACAGCTTCAGAGGCGTGAGGATATAGTCAACAAGCCAGTAAAACAAACAGTCCTATACGAACCCAACTCCTACCGATGTGCCTGTGCCACACCGCAGCCGACTCCGCCCACGACCATGGCTGCGCCGCCCAGAACGCCGGCACCTGGGAGTACGGGTCTTTCGGCTTTGAGCTTCTGTACAGGAGCTTGAACTTCCGCAGTTCCACGTTTAGGGTTTAGGGGTTTGTTTCCCTCCTACCTAGCAATGAAGGGTTTAGGGTTTAGGGGTTTAGGGTTTCGGGGTTTCGTCGCCTTCGTCGTTGTGACTACTCTGCCGAATGAAAAAACTGCAGCATCTGCTGCCGCAGCTGCAACGGAAACGCACACCATCAGCGCAGGTCTCTTGACCTCCCTATAGTCTCCTTTACAAGTTCCATTGTTGCTTGAATAGAATCCTTTGCGGCAAACAAAAAAGGACCTACAGTGCAGACTATATAGTCTGCACTATATTGCTATACATCATGAGTCACGGCTGAGCTCCCGACCCAGCCCTTTAAAGAAGCCGGCTGCACCACCGGCCCTCGCACGAGCTCTTACCGTTTGGGAGTTCCTTGAGGTTAGGGTCTTGGGTGTAGTTTAGGGGTGCTAGAGCCCGGAACGTTTCTCAGGTGCCACTGGTGGCAGTGGGCTTAGGATCCCTTTTTGACGACTTTTGCTGATTGCGTTACCCAGAAGATGTCCCACCCCCTTGGAAAGGGTCCTTCTGCTTCAAGACGGCTAGAACGCCTTTGTGCGAGGGACCACGTAGGAAAACCTTCTCGGAATTCGTAATATATTACATCGCAATGGAAATATGTACTTTAACGGTTCCAAGCTGATTTTACCGACAAGCTAATGAAACGAGCGGTTCCAAAACATGAGCCCAACTTCGCCCAACATCAGAACAAGCGCCAATGTCATGTGACTTGCTCGGCAGCAAGCTCGATACCGTACGAGTTGCACTTCGGAACAGTCAGCCGTCCGTACCGAGACCCTCAGTTCAACGCAGAAATCGTGCAAACCCGAGCAGGGTACTACAGCAGGATCCTAAACCCTGGCCCTAAACCTCTGAAGCCTTTTTTGGCGCAGATTTGTACATGCTCCGAAGCTTTAAACCCGAAACCCATTATGACACAAGCGAAACTAGGAGAAGTGAGGCCTTCTCCCGGCCAACGGCTCTCAAACCATGCCCCAAATGTGCCCAGAAGCCGAAGAGCCATTATGTAACCAAGGACTATACCTTACAGCTTTAAGGTTTCTTCAGGTCAAAAGATTCTCCCGGTTATGAAAGGAGTCCTCGCCCCCTGCACCGGTGCCGCAACCTGGGTTTGGGGGACAGCGAAGGGCTAAGAGCTCTTCGGGCTTCGGGGTTTGGGTTTCGGGTAACCCGAAACCCTCACCCCAAACCGGGATTGGGATTGAGCCTGGATTCGGATTCAGGGTTTAGGCGGTTTTAGGGATCAGGGCTTACGGCTTTTAGGCCTGAAGTGTTTAGGATTTACCTGGGCCCCGAATAACCTACCTATTTCGGAAGTTGTATAAGGAAATCATAAGCAGGAACAGGGTCTAAGGCTGGGGGGTTTAGGGATTTGGGGGCCTATGGGGGTTTGGGGTTACGAAGGCTTGGGGTTTTGATAGTACCCATTTTTTGTGGGAGGTTTTAAGGTTTCAGGCTCAGGGCTAGGCTTCTTTAACAATCACACTCGCGGATACAAGGCGGGGTCTGTAGGCAAACTATACTCAGGGTTTAGGGTCGAGCACAGGCTCTCGGGTTTAGGGGTTAGAGTTTGGAGTTTAAGCTCTCGGATTGCGGGACTGGAAAGAAACAAAGTTGTAGGAGGTAGGCGGTCTGAAGACCACTTCTTAGAAGCAATGTTGGAAGACATTGCTTCTTGGAAGCTGGGACCCCGAATGGTCGAAGTTGCAACCCCATCCTTATCAGCCGTGTGCCTGAATATGCCTGAATCTGGGAACTTTGCTCCGGTGATGCCGACGGATTTCGAATCTTATCCGATCCGCCTCGCGTGCCCAATACGGCCGTAAACGTGAGCGATCCTTTCACCGAGTATTCTCGATCAGGGAAGGACACCCCGAAAGCCACAGGGCAAAAAGGCTACCGTTGACCCGAAACCGCAACTCTGGCATGATGATGTATGGAGCCCAATCTTGGCTGACTTCTGAACCGCCCCTAAAAGTTAAACTTTCTGCCTCCTTATTATAGTTCATACAGAGGCACAAAAAGTTAAAGTCCCAAGAGCCAACCAGAAGAACACCGAGCAATTATGGATCACTTCAAGAACTCCAAAACGGAACCCTAACCCTCAGCTCTTCCAACCCGAGCGCGCGGCAGCAGTGACCAAGCCTCCAGCGACTCCGGCCTAACGCTGTCACAGGATGAAGCAAAAGGATCCATTGGTTTAGGGTCATAGGGTTTAGAATTTAGGGCCTAAGTTGGGTGGAGTGGTGGGGCTGTAGCGGGGGGGGGGGGGGAGTGGAAGTGGTTTAGGGTTTAAAACCTCGCAACTCGGACTCGCCAGACGAGGTCTCTGTGTTCGTGTGCACAATGCAAACTAACTATTATTGGTTTGGGGGTTTAGGATTTAGGGTCTAAAGTGGGTGGAGTGGGGGTGGAATATCGCCTGGGGGGGGTTTGGAAGTGAGGGTTTCGTTCACTCAAGGGGTGTCGATCATGAGAATCTTGTGAATTAGGGGTATGTATGTATACTTGGTTACTTCCAAGCTCTTAACGGGATTTGCGGGTTGCCGTCTTACTTGAGAACCTGCTTGTATGTTCCAAAGAACATCCGCTACACATTTGATAACCAAAGGCCTCCGAACAGAACAACTTGAGCGCTGAAGTACAGCTGCATTGAGGGCAGGTGCCGCAAAACAGCAAGCAATTGGGCTACTGGGGGTTTCAAGCACATCCTGAATGGATCCCGAACCAACC